TTGTAAAATTCTATCCCATCTCAATACAAAGCTCTTAAGAGGATATTGTAGACACCCAATTTGATCCAGGGCCAGATCAATTGAGCTTGGTCCAAATGGATAAGCCCAATTTTGCTTTTATTTTGTATTTTATACTTTTTATTATTTTTATTTTTATTTTATATTTTATGTATATATTTTCCTTTGTATCTTATGTATTTATTATTTATTTATTTATTATTACTATGTATTAATATATGTATATCTTTATTATTATTATTTCTTTCTTTTCTGTTAATATTTATATATTTTTTATTTATCTAGTTATATATTTATTTATTCATTTATATATTATAATTTATCTATTATTATGATTTTTTTTATTTATCTTGTAATATTTTTTATTTATCTTATTATTATTTTTTTCTTCTAATTATCTATTAATATATTTTTTTTATTTTTATTTATTTATCTTATTTTTTTTCTTTTTTTTTTGGGCTGAGATTGAACTTGTTGAAGAATCTTACCGTGAATGAGGATTCAATCAGAATCCAGATTGGATTCAAAGATTGAATCTCCATCCAAAAAAAGAATAGGGATTGATCAGAAACTCTTTTGATCAATCCCTATAAATAGGTACTGGAACAGAAGCAAAAGGAAAGACATGAGAGAAAGAGTTACTGGCTGAGAAAAAAGGCAGACAGAAAAAATTTGAAAGCTGAAAAGGGGTTTGGAGGCGTTAGAATAGCTTTAGGAATCAGTGGGAAATTTTTGGAGATTTTTCTGTGAATTTTTTTTTAAAATTTTTGAAAAATTTTCAGATTTCGGTTGAATTTTTCGACAAAGGTTGAATTTTTCGGTGACTATTCCGGCCAAGTTTGAAGTTTTCGACCAGCTGCCCAGTTTTCGATGAGAATTCCCAGAAACAGACCAACTTTCCGATGAACTTTCGACGAAAAACTCAAATTTCGACGAAAATTTTTAGAATCTGGTGAATATTCAATCGGAGTTTTTCGGATTCTAGAGAGAAGGGAGAGATAAAAGAAGGGAAGAGAGAGAAGAGAAAAAAGGTTCTGCTGAAAAAATGACAGAATTAACCTTATATACCCTCTCAAAACGACGTTGTTTCTACGTTAAATAACCCAGAGAATCCGCGCATTTTACCGAGATTCGACCTGACCCGAGCATCGACTCGCTTTCGACCCGCGCGTGACTCACCTCTCTAAGCCGTTAGTCGAGCCGAGTTGATACCCCGAGCCGCGTCTCCAAGCCGTTTTTCTTCTTTGAGCTAAGCCGAGCCGAGCCATAAGTCGAGGCGTTCCCATGTTTTTTTTATATAATTTTTATTATTATTTATTTATTTATTTATTATTATATTAGGATTGTTTAATATTTTTTCTATTTTTTTATTTATTTTATTTTATTTATTTATTTTATTTTCTCTAAAAAAAATAAAAAAAATATTTTTGAGGAAAATTGAAAGTATCAATTTTCCTTAAGAATAAATTTTCAAAAAAGGTTTTTTTGAGGAAAAGTTGAAAGTATCAATTTTTCTTAAGAATAAATTTTCAAAAAAAGTTTTTTTTTTTGAGGAAAAGTTAAAAATATTCATTTTCCTAGAAAATAAAAATTTCAAAAAAATATTTGTAGGGAAAAGTTGAAAGTATCAATTTTCTTTGAAACTAAAGTTTCCAAAAAAAATATTTTGAGAAAAAGTTGAAAGTATCAATTTTTCTTTGTACAAAAGCAATCATTTTTTTCTTTTTTTATTTCTTTTAAATTTTTTTAATGTTAAATAATCCGACGATGGAGCCTCTACAAGTGAAACAATAGTTTTCTTGCATACTCTTGAGGTGAGAAAATTTTTTCAATTTTCTGCTAAAAGTATTAGAGTAAACTGAGAATAATTTTCAATAATTAATTACTTGGTAAAATTTTAAGGCTTATTAAATAACACAAAATTAAGCTGGTACCATCTTTTGATTGGCGTTATGAGGGTGCTATAACATTCTTCACACGTAACCGAACTCCCGAACCCTGTTCTGGTTAGTAGACCTGAATCTATTCTTTTAGGGACCCTTAAACTTAGGTGTTTTCTGAAAGGACAGATTCCTTAGGTGGCCAATCGCACCTAGATAAAAAAGATTGATGATGACTCCTTTAAGTCAATGTCTAGCGATAGATCCCCGAATTTAGACGTTATGACAGATATCACACCTCTTGTTCTCTAATCCCCTTTGAATGTCAAAGGAATTTGCAAATAATGGAAAAACCTCTAATAGGTAAATATTTGCTAGGGTTAAGTACAAATAATGATAAAAGAAAAACAAATATAACTAGGATATAAAAATGAAAAAAATTAAAACTCTAATATTTAAAATGCTCTTGAATTCTTAAAAAAATGATTGTAAGGCTTGTCGGTGCTTCTTTTTATTTTATTTAGTTATTTAGTTAAACCAATAATTCATTATTGGAACAGATAACAAAAACCATTTCATTCGACATTCGTAATTTTTTATTTTCCAATGGATTTACATCTTTCATTAATGGAAATTTTTTGATTAGTGAGTAATAGCTCTGGTTGTTCGCTGTTCAAGAATTCTTGTTTCGGCAGTTCATACCATCCATACATAGTGTTTTGATCTAAGATTTCAATTCTTCCATGTTTCAGCAGTAGCATATTGTTCCATGGAGCTAAGGTCCAAAATATGGAAGAAACATGTGTTTCCACAACCTTCTTTCTTCACAAATGTGTTGGAATGCATAATTTATAAAAGGACATGGGTTTGTAGCCATTGGGGATTGATTGGGTGAAAAATACTCATTGTTCTTTTGAAAAACTAACCGTTTGAAGTTGTCTGAGCTAAAATTGATTAATCCATTTTTAGAGGAGATTGATCCATTTTTAGAGGAGGTTGATCCATTTTAGTAATTTTGAAATCAATTTGCTTTTTGTATAAAAAATAGATTGATCATTTTTCAAAGGGGAGCAATCAATTTTTGCAATTTTCAAGTTTGAGATCATTTTATATAAAAAATCAATCGATCTATTTTTAAATAGATCGATCCATTTTAGATTTTTACCAAAACTTTTTGTTTATGTGCAAAGAGAATCGATCTTCTTTCGTAAATTTGTATAAAACATGTTTTCAATAAGGAAATAAGTTTGTTTTTTGTCCCAAATCATTTTTCGTTTGAAAAATTGCTAACAAAATTTTCTTTTTGAGTTCAAAGCATTTTTTCAAAATATTTTTCAAATCAAATATCACTTTGGAAAAATATTATTTATTTAATATCAATATATATATGTCATAACGTCTAGATCCGGGGATCTATCGCTAGACATTGACCTTTAAGGAGTCGCCACCAATCTTTTTTATTTAGGTGCGATTGGCCACCTAAAGAATCTATTCTTTCAGGGAACACCTAAGTTTAAGGGTCCCTAAAAGAATATGTTCAGGTCTACTAACCAGAACAAGATTCGGGAGTTCGATTACGCGTGAGGAAGGTTATAGCACCCTCACAACGCCCATCAAAAGATGGTATCAGCTTAAATTTGTGTTATCCAATGAGCCTTAAAAATTTACCAAGTGATTAATTATTGAAAATTATTCTCAATTTACTCTAATACTTTTAGCAAAAAATTGAGAAAATTCCTTCACCTCAAGAGTATGCAAGAAAACTACTGTTTGACTTATAGAGGCTCCATCGTCGGATTATTTTAAGAAAAAAAATAAAAATAAAAAAATAAGAATAAAAAGGAAAAAAAGAATGATTGTTTTTGTGCAGAAAAAATTAATACTTTCAACTTTTCTTCAAAAATTTATTTTTTTGAAAATTTATTTTTAAGAAAAATTGATACTTTCAACTTTTTCTCAAAAACCCTTTTTTGAAATTTTATTTTTAAAGAAAATTGATACTTTCAACTTTTCTCCAAAAATATTTTTTTGAAACTTTGATTTTCAAGGAAAATTGATACTTTCAACTTTTTCCCAAAAATATTTTTTGGAAACTTTGATTTTCAAGGAAAATTGATACTTTCAACTTTTCCTCAAAAACCCTTTTTTGATTTTTATTTAAAGAAAATAGAATAATAAAACAAAATAAAGTGAAAATAAATAAATAAAGAAAATAAAGAAAAGTAAAACAAAAATAAAAATAAAATAAAGATAAAAGAATATTAAATAAACATAATCTAATAAATAAATAAATGAATAAATAAATAAAGATATACATATATTAATACATAGTAATAATAAATAAATAATAAATACATAAAATACAAAATAAAGGAAAAAAAATAAAAATAAAAATACAAAATAAAAATCAATTACCCATTTGGACCAGACCCAATTGATCCGGACCTAGACCAAATTTGATGTCTACAATATATATATATATAAGAACCATGTATTAAATAAATCATTCAAAGTTCAAAATCATTTTCTAAAATATTTTTCACTTCAAATATCACTAATAATTTTTTAGTACTTCAATCAATATAGTTTAAAAACATTTACTAAATAAATCTCAATCAAGTTTATTTAACTTAATATTTTGTTATTTCAAAATAAAAATTAATTCAAAACAAACAATTTATGTCACGTATTTTATCGAAAGTTTATATTTGATACACTATCAACGTGTAAATTTTATATACTGTCAATAAATCAAATGACGATAACTTATTAATGAACAAATATAAACCCTTAAAATAAATATACACAAATTAAAATAACTTACTCATTAATAAAGTGTTATCATCTTAGTCACCACATTAATGAATTATCATCATCTGATTTATTAATAATATATAAAATTTATACACTAATAATATATCAAATATAAACTCTTTTATCAATACATGAAAAAATGAACTTTTGACATAGAAAGTAAATTAAGTAACAATCGCAATTGTATCAATAAAAATGGATCGATGTATTGTATATGTATTTGTCGAACCTCACATAACGGATATTATCATATATGCATTTGATATGAAATATGAACTCAAATGCAAAAGGGTTCAAGAGAGAAGAAACTAGCCAATGAACAAGCAATGTGAAGAAACACAAGCCTAAAAGAGATTACCTTAGCTTCCATTGACAAAAGATAGATTCAGAGGGAATACAACCAATTCACAATTACTAATTACTTGTAGTTCAAGGTTGAACAAGAGAAAGGAAACTACAACAAACCGAATATAGGGAGATGCCTATGCCTCCCGGAGTATGATACAAGAGAAAAATGATGCTATAACGCACTGTGGTTGAAATGTAACAAAATAAAGGTTTTAGGTTTGAATCAGAGTTTTAGTTCAGTGATGTTTTGATGAGGGTGAGGGTGGGCACTGGTAGCACTTGGCAAAGAGCCCAAATGTATCGACTTGCTTAATGAAATTTGTCATGCTAGCCCAACCTCCCAATCCAAAGCCAACTACAAAGACCCAAATCACAACAAATGCGTTCACTGCATACACTGCTGTCCAGCTTGGGAGAAAGAAAGGAGGCTTCTCAGCTGCATTCTGCTCACACAAGAATTACCAAAGAATAAGAAGTAAGTTGATAAATTTACACAACGATGAGTTTGTTTGAAGGTCGAACAGCCTAATTCTTTGTTTTGATCTGCAGTTCTAAATGTGAAGAATAAGACTTAATGGTTTAGCCTACCAGCTACTTCAAAGATGTGGCCAGCAAAAAAGTTAAACTGAGTGATAAGGAAATGCCACCAACCTCATCTTTGTTTCATAAATTATGTGTATCTTTACCAGTTTACCAATCAAAATTATCAACAAGTATATCTATCAAACTGGTTTGATCATGATGACTAGGAAAAGGTGGCTCATAATGACAGACCAGTAACATAATTGTAGCATTCGACGATGCCAGCCAGGTTGCACAAATATTTGGTAGGAAATGAAGAAACTGGAACATTTACGGATTTACCTGTCGGGCAGAGGCTGATCTATAAGTGAGCATATGAGCCAAGGCAGGGATGACGTAGACAGTGAAGCTGACCAGAAGAGATCCTACAGCCGAGTTAATGGGACCAAAGAAAGGAAATATGATAGCCAAGAACCATATAGGTATCACCACAGGTAACCGGCATACTGCCCTCAAACATATGCTCTTTGTGTCATGCATCCCCACCACTTTCTCCCACACAAAGTACAATGGCGTACATGCAAACCCGAATGTTATAAACTGTGAAATTAGAAGCCAAAATAATTTATCATGTGATGTCAAATTCATTAATCAATCAAGGCCATGATAGCATAAACATTGGTATGTAGGATATCCACAAACCTGGTGAATTAACATTAGGACAACTGCCGCATCACGCCATGCAGAACGTGGAAGGAGTGAAAAGGCGTTGGAATGATGAAGAAGTTGATCACCGAAAGCCCAGTAGACGGCAGTAGCCGATGGGATGGTTAGGGTGAATACATAGAGGGTGGCCAATAGATATATGTACTTGAATTTCTGAGGCTTCCACATCGCATGCATAATTTCACTGTAATCATCAAAATTTGTCCAAAACTCAGTTTTAGTCAACCGCTGCAGTAGTCCGGGCAAAAGAGAACCAAGGAGCAAGATTTCCACTTTTTATAAGGTTAAAGAATATGTCTCAAGATATCCTGAAGTTAGGGGAAAAACCTTTGGTTAAAGCTGAGGACCCATGCAATTATTATGATCAAACCCCATTCAAAGAATAGGACTTCAAATAAAGCTCAACTCAACTAGGAGTACAAGTTTCATTATTTCACTTCTTCATCACATTCTTTTTCCTTGTTATATTTATTTTGATAATTTTGACCAAGATAAGAGTTGATTTGATGCACACATTTATAACCAGTTGAACTAGAAAATTACTAACCTACCAGAATTGATGATTTTTCAGCAAGATATTTAATAAAGAATATACTGCAACTTTTGAACAAAACAGGAGACAAGAAAGGTGCCAAACCAGAAACATTGATTCAAGGGTAACTTTACCAAATGAACAAAGGAATATCAATGAATTTGTTTCTTAAACTTGTCTCTTTCTCAAATCCCAAAAATAGAAAGCAAAAGCTGCTAATAATATGCTACTGTAAGAAATGTACTGTACTGCGTTTGAAAAGTTTCTGTTCAATAAAATAAAGCAAAAATTAGTAGTTTCTTTTTGGAACTGTAGTAATAATAATAATGTAACACTTACACAGTGACAGCATGACCGCCGAAAGTATACAGGATATTGGTGGCGCCAGTGAAGTACAAAACCAGCTTAGTTGGACCTTGGTGAGTTACACCTTCCACCTGTAAAAGAAAAAAAAAGGTAAAAAAAATTTAAAAAATGACATTAAATAAAAAACGAAGTAAAGATCATGACCATTTCTTTGTTGTTTTACCTGGCCATGGACAAGGGATGCAATGGTCAAATACCATGCAGTGTAGGTGGTCATGCCAAGCCCCAGAAAAGACCAGATTCTATAGTTGTGAAATGAGGGGATGAACACTGTGGTAGCACAGCAAGCTCCAAAGATATAAGTCCATGTCCTCTTGTCTAACTTGTCATTTATGTAATATATGTTGCTGTAATCAACTCAAAAAAAAAAATAATCACAAATCAGTTGATTAATCCATCAAAGTCGAGAATTAATGAAAATATTAAGAGTTAAATTAAAGAAATGGGACCTTGCACAGGCTATAAGCTGAATGACAGATCCGAAGAGCAAAAAAGTGCAGTTAAAAGCCAATCCGACAGCTTTCCAGTAAGGACCCAGTAGACCATCTAACACTTCAAACCACTGCATTTTAAAAATATATATATACAATTTTTAGAATTTTATGTGAAATTGTTATTTTTTGTTTTTTAAGTATATTTTTTAAAGAGTGTTGATCTTGAAAAGCTAACCTGTATGACATGGTTCTTGAAGCTGACATTGTCTTTCTCCTTTCTGCTTCGGTACTCAATATACAGAAAACTGATGAGATAAGCAGTCCAGCTTCCAAGAACACCATAGAAAACCTGAAGAATAATCCCTGAAAGCATTCCCATTTGAGAGAAAGAATATGGCAGTGTTAACAGAACTTGAGCCACCTGCCGACCACCAGACAAAAAAAAAAAAAAAAGAAAGAATCTTTATGAGTTAGAAAAAAAAAAAACTAGTGTTTACACTACTTTGATTACAATTTTGAGTTGGGATTTTAGTACCTGATTTGAAGCACAGCTAAACCAGGCATCATAAACAGAACCGCCATGCCAAAGAAGGCTCTTAACACTGAAAATGGAATGATCTCCCTTCTCTTCCTCTTTCTCGTCATGTTCATTTGTCTCATTAAAGCATGGAACAATTGCTTCCTCTGCCTGTTTCTGTCCTGACATTGCTTCACTTCTCCATAGATAAAAAAAACAAACACAAAATTAAACCAAACCCACCGCCCAAAACCAAGCAAGCGATATTAGAATATAAGCCTCAAATATTTGACTATGTTACCTTATTCCAGGGAGGCCAATTCGCAGTGACTTATAATGAAGTAGAGAAAGAAAAAGACAGCTTCTTGACAAATGTGAGCCTACCCCCAAATCAGATTCAGGTTCTTTAACTGCTCTCAGGGAGAGAGAGAGAGAGAGAGAGAGAGAGTATTTATCTCGTTTTAGCTTTAAGAGCAAGAAACCACAGTTTTTGGGTGGCTGTTACAGCTTTAATTTTTTATGGTTCTAAGGCGGTTACAAATTTATAAATCAGAAAACTTGTAGTAATTCATAAATGCTTTACAAACAAGAACACAGAAGAATCCCAATTCTCAAAAAGAAACAAATCATAACTCCAACGCTGGCAGCTCCTTAATTATCCTTCAAAAAGCCAGCTAAAACCATTTTAAATGCCCTTTTTTTATCCTCCAGGTTTAAGCTAGCCGTATCATCAAAAGTCATTTCTTTAAGCACTCAAAAATCCAACAAGCAATAAAGAGCTTTCCTTTCCTAATATTGAAGAGGAGATAAACAACCCCTTTTTTATTCTTTGGGAAACGAGATCAGCCAGAGAAAATCAGCGCCTGAGAAAGCAGAAATGGGAATCACAGCTACTATCGAGGAAACTATGGAACTATAAAAGGCAGCTTTTCCTTAAACAGTGTTTTAAACAAAAAAGGAGAGAGAAAAAAATGCAAACAAACATAAATAAAAACAAAAAAAAAAAATTTTATTAAAAAGAATATATATATAAAAAACATAGTGTCTGAGTTTTTTTTTTTTTTTTTAAATTAAAAAGGTAAATGATATATATATATTTTTAAAAGTTATTTGAGTTTAATTTAAAAAAATTTAAATTTGATCCACTTGTTATCAAACTGAGCTCAAATTTAAACAGTTTAAGTTATCGAATAAATCGAATTTGAATATTTGATTTGAGTGACTTTCAAGTTTAATCAAATTTTTTGTTTTTAATATTTTATTACTAATTTATTTTTTTTAACTTTAAATATATATATATACTTAAAAATCCTAAAAGGTATTTGATTCCTAAAATCGTAAATTTCAAAAGAAAGCATGATCTCAAAAAAATGTGATATATGAGATTTTTTTAAAAAAATTTTTAAAGTATATAATATTCATATTCACTCATTTAATTGGGATAAATTATATATATTAAATCTTAATTAATTATTATAATCTCTTTAACATATATAATGAAAACTTAAATAATCTAATTTTTAATTAAAGATGATTATTTATAGCATTTTAAGCTCGAAAATACTTTGAATAATTCTTACAAAAAATTTTTATGAAAGGATTATTTAATTCATTTTTGACTAAAAATGTATTCAATAATTTCTTTTAATTTTTTAGAGGGGATTACTCAAGGCGTTTTTGACCAAAAAGCCTTGAATAATCCCTTTTAATTTTTTTACTAATAGATTATTTAAAGCATTTTTGATAAAAAAATACCTCTAATAACTTTTTTCAATTTTTATAAAGAAATATTCAAGGCATTTTGCCGAAAAAAAGTCTTGAATAATCCTTTATAAAAAATTGAATAAAGTTATTTAAGGCATTTTTGACAAAAAAACATATTGAGTAATCCCTTTGCATTTTTTTATAAATTATTCAAGGTATTTTTAGATAGAAAACATCTTAAATAATCCTTTAAAAAATTGAATGTCAATAATCTCTTCTAATTTTTTAAAGGAGATTATTCAAAGTGTTTTTGATAAAAAAATCTTTCAATAATCCTTTTTAATTTTTTTATTAAGGGATTATTTAAAGCGTTTTTGACAAAAAAAATTGCCTCTAATAACCTCTTTCAATTTTTATAAGGGAATATTCAAGGCATTTTTGCCAAAAAATGCATTTTTGACCAAAAACATATTGAATAATCTTTTACATTTTTTTATAGATTATTCAAGGTATTTTTGAGTAGAAAACACCTTGAATAATCTCTTAAAAAATTGAATGGGATTATTAAAGGCGTTTTTGATAAAAAAATCCCTTGAATATTCTTTAAAAAAGGTGTTTCTGGCCTAAAATATCTTCAATAATCATCTCGTAATTTTTTTTATGAATTATTTAAAATAATTTTTTTGCCAAAAATGCCTTAAATATTCCTTTAAAAAAATTGAATATGATCATTAAAGGTATTTCTGGCTAAAAATGCCTTCAATAATCTCCTCACAATTTTTTTTATGAATTATTTAAGACATTTTTTGTCAGAAAATACCTTGAATAATCTCATACAATAAATTGAATAGGGTTATTGAATGTGTTTCTAGCAAAAAATGCCTTCAATAATTTTGTTAAATTTTTTTACTAAGGGATTATTAAATGCGTTTTTATCCAAAAACCTCTTGAACAATCTCATTCTCATTTTTGTAAGGAATTAGGCAATGTGTTTTTTATGGGAAAAAATGCATTGAAGAATCCCCAATACAAAAATGGAATGGATTATTTAATATGTTTTTGGCTAAAAAAACTTTGAGTAATCATATCATAAAAGTTTATGAGAGCATTATTAAAAATATTTTTTGCCAGAAATGCTTTCAATAACCCTATTAAATTTTTTTTTGAAGATTATTGGATCCAAAATCGCCTCGAATAATCTTCATAAAAATTTATGAACTTCCAATTTTGTTAGTTTTTGGCTACTTTAAACTTTGTCATTTTATATTTCATTTGCACACTGGATTGCTTGTTGTATTAGGTTTTTTATTTATTTTCATAATATTTTTTGAAATATATTAGATTTAATTAATACAAAATATTTGTATTGAAAAATCTTAATTTGAGCTCAAATTCAAGTACCAATAATCGAGCTTAAAATTAAGTATAGAATTAAACTTTTTTTTTATTGATAAATGAGCCTATTTGAGCAAGTTCAAGTGATTTGATTTTGATCACGAAGAGCTTGAGTTAAGAAAATAAAATTAGATCGAATTCAAGCCAAGTATTGAGTTTCGAGTTGGGAGTTGAGCTCAAACTTAAGCTTTTTATTGTATTATCTCGATTCGACTTGATTACACTCATGATTAAGACATAAGAGTGGCAGAGAGATCTTTAAGCTTCTTTTAACACTGTTCATAGTCCATGGGTGTTGTCTCAGTTACTAAATGATTCTATGACAAGAATAAGCCTTTTTAAATTGGTTTATTCGATCCAAATCTTTAGTAGTAGTACCAAAATTTTTACTTTAAAGTTTAACATTTTTTAACTCTAAATTTTCAATTTTTAACTCTAATGTTAATGGTCAATTTTTATTCCAAGAGAGTGTTATTGAATAGTTTGGAAATTTTTTTTGAAAAAAAAAAAATCTAACCATTCACATTTACTTGTTTCATTATAACTGTTAATCAAATTATTGTTCATATAGAATTAATAGATGAATATATATATATATATATATATATGAAAGAAATTTGATCACAGACAAGAAAAGAAGGTGATGGTACATGAAAATTGAGTTACTTGTGTATTCATATTTTAAGAAATCCAAAACAAAATCTGTAAGAAAATTTAAATTCACTCATGAAAAAAATTGCACCAAATTATAGCATAAGATTTGATAAATTTCTAGATTTGTTGTTGTTCGAAAGATACAATGTATTGAGAAATTGATAGAAGAAACAAAGTATCTTGATGATGAATTAACGATGAATTATATGGTAAGATGTCATGGGAATTTTTGGTCAATCTTATACCATCTTTCCAAAAATAATTAATAGAAGCAAAACAAATAGCATTTTTGGCCAAGCCAATATTGGATTATTGACCAAGAAAAAGTAGATCCCTTTCACCTAACTCCTACATTAAAAAAAAAAAAAATTTTGTGGCTTCTAATTTAAGGTATCCAATTAATGATTTTGTCATTTGAATCAAAATGTCAAAAATCTGATATGAGTATTTTGAGTAAACCACCAACTCCTAAAACCTTGAAATGAACAATGAAACAACAATTATATCAAAGTATTGTCATCTCATAAATCTTATCTCTGCCAACCATTTGATTTTCAAGTTTTTGGTAGAAGAAATATTGCACTTTATTAATTTGGGTTTTGGGATTTAGTTTTTATGTAGTAGCTAGTCAAAATCCCATGCACAATTTTATGCACTAATATCAAATTCAAAAAGCAAAAAGTCAAATAATATTTGTTTGGAAATAAGTGACCTAAAAATAGAAAAAATGGATGCTAATTAATAATTCAAAAAGAAAATTTTAATTTTAATTTAATTTATTTATATAATTATTTTTAAAAAATAATATCTAATAACTATGAGATTTGAATTTTAATACTTGTAATATTTTTTTAAAATTCAGATTGTACTTTTTTTAAGGATAAATTGTGATCTCTTTAATTAAAAAAAAATACTAAAAATGGAAAACAAAGATAAGTTGCCAAAATAGAAAGATTATAGGAGATTAATTTTTATGTAATTAAATATATTTTTATAAAATTACATGTACAAGTAGAAATTATAATTATAAGTAAACAATTTTTTTTCAAAATTAAAATAATCCATGGCTACTAATTAAATTATGCTTTTAAGTAATGAGTTACCATGACGTTTTCTTTTTCGAAATTGATAAAAGGGTGAGACAATGCTATGAGTATTGCTTATTATTAATTATGGTCTGCATGCAAGAGAGAATTAAGTCTCTGGAAAATACTCATGGTATTTGCCACCTCTTGGAATTGTTATCATGCCAAAATAATCCACCGTAGGCTGAGCCAGTGCCAGGCCCAGATGCATTCAACATTTGTATTGCCAATTCAATCGCCGTTCACCACTGCTACATTACCATCTTTTGAGAATAAGTTGCTCAATTACTATTTCAAGTTCTCATCAAACAAAAAAAAAATTTACTCCCTTTGTAAGTCAACTTTAATTTAAAAAATACAAAATTCAAAAATTAAATTCGAGTTAAGTTCTGACTCAATCTTGATTGTTATAGGCAAATTTTTTTTACCTCCCTTTTTGTTAGCTTATGAATTGTTCTGAATTTCACCTATAAGTAGGTTTAGTTTTTAACTTTGTCGAGTGTTTAGTGGGAACGACAATGATTAACTGAATGAGACGATTTGGGACCCTATTCTTGCTTAAGGGAGTTCCGAATAATTAATAGTGATCATGAGCCTAACAGGCTTGCATCATAATCTTTATTATAACTGATACTATAAAGAAATCCATTTTTAACGCGGTTTAAATGTTGTTGTATGTTTATATATATATATATATATATATATATATATAGAAAAATAATATAAAAGAAGAATCATGTTCATTAAAAATGTAATTAAATTTTTAAATGATAAATCTGAATTTAATTCGAATGATTCATTTATTTTTTTTTTTAAAAAATTGAATTCTCGTAAGATTAAGATCCTATTATCATAATTACATTCTCCCATGAATTTTCACTTGATCTCTTTATATTAAAAAAAAAAAAATCCCAAATGATGGTTTAGATTTGGATGTGTAAGGCTTAAAACAATTGAGATACATACTAATTACAATATCAGCACGACAAATAATCTTAGATAAGGGAGATGTTGAAGCAATGATGATTAGAAGGAATTTGGGTAGTAACAAGTGAGAGAGAATATTTTGCTTGAAAT